ACGAATAGAAACATTCTCCGTTGCTCAAAGTCAAGACATTTTTGTTTTTAGCGCCTGATGACCCAGAGAGACACCCTTCGGGAGACAAATGATGAGCTGAGGTGTGCGCAGGTCCAGCAGAAGTGTCTCAGCGATGCAGGTGAGCCTAACGTGGATGCCATTGACTGACGGTCAGTGCTGAAGAAATGAATCGCCTAAAAAAATTAGCAACACATTGGCGCGGCACCGTCGATTGGGGCTCGGCTCGTTTTCATGCAGTGTTTGAACAGCCACACGGTGGCAGTTGTTTTCATGAAAATATTCCAAAATCCATTGCAAAAGGTTTCATCTGCTACCGAATAATCTCTCCACAGGAGGCTTGCGCGACAATGGGGCCACGGTGGGAAACCTGGCCGCAGAAATCATGCCCACTGAGCTCAAGTATGTATTAAGGTTGATGTGCAAAGGCTGTCAGGGGCGGGGGTCAACGAGCCCCCCCCACCCCACTCATCATCTTGATTCACCTCTCGCTCGCTTTCTTGTCTTCACGTTGATTCCAGGGAGACAATGGTGCGCTTGCAGAGTGAAAACAAGATGCTGTGCGTCCAGGAGGAAACCTACAGGCAGAAAGTAGCGGAGGTGCACGCTGAGCTCGAGGGGGCTCAGCGCAGCAAGAATGCCCTGGAAACCCAAAACAGGTAGGTGACAGCCCGCCATCGACGACCTATGTAGCAAGAATAAATCGACTCCTACCCGCTCCGTGCCGCCATATTGTGTGTTCCTTGACATTCAGATGGGTGTTTGGTGGATGGGTAGGAGGGATATCTGCCTAAATGTCAACTCGCCCTCTGGACTGTGTGCTCAGCTGAGTTGTGTGGGCTGCACTGGAGGACAGACAGCAGAAAGCCAGATTGTCTCTTGTCTGTGCGCGCGAATGTGTTTATATGCCTGCGGGCATGTGGACATGTGGGTGGACTGAGTGTGTGTGCGTGCGTGTGCGTAGCCAGGCAACACCAGGCCCAGGGTGTGGGAAGCATCTTCAGTAACAGGAGGAGAGGAGTGCAGCGGGCATGCTCAGTAGAGCGCAGCGCCGCACGGCCCGGCGGCACGCAGATGCACAAGGATCAACGCTTCGCTCTACTTGTCTTCCTCCCACCCGTTTAACTTTGATGTTTCATCCCTCTCTTCTTGACCGGCTCTTCAACAATCCTGCCATTGTTCTATCCCCCGCAGGCTGCAACACCAGCAGATCTCCGAGCTGCGTTCGCAGGTGGAGGAGCTCCAGAAAGCCCTTCAAGAGCAGGGCAGCAAGACGGAGGATGTGAGTGCTTGTCTCCCCCCCGTCCACTTCAGCCACTTGCCAATCTCTCACAAACACACACATGCACAGAACACGGGGGGTGTTCTGTGCATTTCTATGAACCACATTTGGTACCCTAAATTGGTGGCTGAATCTCACTCTGTACCTTGTCATGATAAATTACAATCTGCAATTATCGAGGCGAATCATAGAAAAAAGCTTTTAAAAATTGGCCCGCACCTGGGGGTGAGCCCTGCCCCAAGTCGTCAAAGTCTGCAAGTTATTGGCAAATTGTCACAACAAGGGCGACTCCACTTCATAAGCCTGAGAAAAAAAATGATTGCTCGTGACAGTTGCAATCTTTGTTTGACTTTGACGTGTGTCACGTGTGGGTATTGAAGCCGTGTTTGCTGTGTTTGCTGATTCACCGTTAACGCCTGCCCTTCTGTCTGTCTGTCTGTCTGTCTTGTCCTGTCGCTACCCGCCCGCCCCACCAAACAACCGTGCCAAAATCAGGCTATCGTAAGTACGGCCCACCCTCTGTCCAAATGGCCTGTGATTCAACCCTTTGACAGCTTGACTTTGACAGCTTTTATTTGGAGTGTTGTGTGTGTGTGTGTGTGTGTGTGTGTGTGTGTGTGTGTGTGTGTGTGTGTGTGTGTGTCCCATTTGAGAAAGTGTTGGAGTTTAATGTGTTTTCCTTGTTTTCTTTATATAGTCCTCCTTACTGAAGAAGAAGCTGGAAGAACATTTGTAAGTCCTCCCAGTAGTGTTGAAATTCTATTGTTAAGAAAAAAAAAGGTTCATGTCAGATTTCATTCCAGGGAGAAGCTCCACGAAGCTCACACTGATCTCCAAAAGAAAAGAGAAGTCATTGATGACCTGGAGCCCAGGGCGGACAGCAACAGTTGAGTCTCTCTTCGTTGAACTGTTCCAGTTGGAGATGACACAGGAAATGCTCAGTCCCCCCTTCTTGCATTTTTACCCTCGTGTCTCCCAGTGGCGAAGAAGATCGATGAACTGCAGGAGATCCTGCGAAAGAAGGATGAGGACATGAAACAGATGGAGCAGCGATACAAGCGCTACATGGACAAGGCCAGAACGGTCTGAAACTTTTTTCAGTGGATCCTTGATTTACGAACGACCTGCTTGATGAACAATATCGTTTGCAAACAAAATTTGGGAAGGAAATATTTTCTCAAATAGGCCCCCCCAAAAAACTGAAAATTGCTAACAATGCTGTTATTAGGAAGCCCAGTCGTGCTCTTTCCCTGTGTATCCCCCTTCTCTGTCTCGGCAGTCCTACATGCCGTTTGGCACGGCGTGACTTGACAGTTGCCCAAAAGAATTTCCATTGGAAAACGTAACCTCTGTTTGCCGACGGCGTCATGGAACGATTTGAAATTCATGACCTGAGGTTTCACGTCGAACCTGCGCTTCATTGTGTGTGCGCGCCGATAGGTGATCGAGACCCTGGATCCAAAGCAACAGCCTGTGCCTGTGACTCCTGACATTCAGGCCTTGAAGAACCAGCTGACGGAGAAAGAGAGAAAAATCCATCACCTGGAGGTACGGAGTTTTAGGACGGGTGGGTTTTTGCTGCTTAACTCGTGTTCCAAACACTCAGTATTCATCTGAATGCCATGTTTTAGACTAGTGGAGCTGCAAAGAATATATTGTACGGTAAATTTTTGACTTGACTGAAGAAGTGTGTGTGTGTGTGTGTGTGTGTGTTCCTGTGCTTAGCGTGATTTTGAGAAGAGTCGATCCAGACATGACCAGGAAGAGAAACTCATCATTAGCGCTTGGTACAACATGGTAAGAGGTCTTCACGTAGTGTGTGTTTTTCACATCGAGAGGGGAAAAATGAATATTCAACCAGCCTGGCCTCCTTTCAGGGAATGGCCTTGCATCAGAGAGTGACGGGCGAGCGGCTGAGCTCGCCCAACCAGGCCATGTCCTTCCTGGCCCAGCAGAGGATGGCCACCAATGCCAGGAGAGGCCTCACTAGGCCCCAACCAAGATAAGGCTTGGAAGGAAACCCTCCGGAGAGGTGCCCTCGCTGCACTCCTTGTTGTCTCCGTGCCTTTTGCAGCTTTGCCGCTCATACGTGCCCTCTGGTGGCTCAACGTGGTACCGTCATGATTTCCGGAGACTGTTGTGTATCATGTGGAAAGAGCAAAAACTGGAAAACGGGGAGCTTGGTGCTTGAGGGGAAAAAAAGACTGTCTCACCTTTTAATCAAGGTGACTTTGATTTTTTTTTTTTTAGAACAGTACAGTTTCTTTTTTTTTAAAACCTTTTAAAATGTATTTTAAGCCACTCTTAATGGCAATAGTGTTAAGATGTGGGATATGAGAGGATGACTTCAGAGGTCCATTGAACTCAAGTAGTGCATCGTGAGGACACGGGGAAGTGAGGAAGAATAGAAATGTGGCCTTGGATCACCCGTCCTACGGTAGGCGCTAAGCAACACTGAGATACCTCCATTTATACACTGTACAACCAATTGAACTTTTCTCTTCCGGCTCCTTTTTATATGAAAGGCCTTAAGCTGTGCAAGAGAAGATGTCCTATCTTCAGTCTTGTTTTCACATGAATGACATTCTCCTCAACTCTCGTATGACCGGCCAAAAGCACTTTCCCTGAGCAGTGCGTTTGTGGAGTGCCTTCAATAAGACACCAACTCCTTCCTGTGTGCTTAAAAATGAAGCATGGTGTACTTGCAGTCCACGAACACGGAATCCTTCCTCCTTTTGTTACCTTTTTCTTAAGGTGTTAGTTGAATAACATGTCCCACTTTGTTTGTTTTCATTGATGAGGTTTATTTGCATGTGACTTTTTTTCCTCCCCATTTGAAGCAGGGTCATGGGTTGTTGGTCAAACCTAAATGCACGCACCACTTTAGAATCTACACAAATGTGAATGTAGGCCACTGAAGGCCTCCTAATGCATGACTATTACACAATGTGATCGACATGTCGCAACACTACAAACGACGGAATGCTCATTTGGAGTTTGTCTGTTCACAAGAAAACGGAGTATATACACTGTAGCCTTCGATACATGACACGTTTATCATTACTGCTTATATTCTACAGATGAGCTCATTTGAGTGTGTAATAATAATAATATAGTGCATCCCATGTCAAAGCTGCTGCTTTGTGTCTTGTCCTTCATCCCTGTCAACATATGCTGTTGTCTTTCCAGCCGACATTTGTGTGCACATTTTTGTGGTTCATAACTAAGTTTGTTAGGTGCTTGTTGCCCAATTATTGGGATGACTCTTAGAATTGGTCACACAGATGATGGTGTACTGTACGTCTCACAAGAGGGATCAGGCAAGCTGAACATTTAGTAGTCTATGTCCTTTCTACTTTTGCACTACAAATAAATGGGAGTTTATGATCGAATATGGCAAGTGGTATTTTGTGCTTGATTACAGTGATTAATATTTTTGAAGAGTGAAGCTCGTGATTGGTTTGGTTTTCATCCCTGTTCAAAACTGCGGGAGAAAAGATTTTTTTAAAATCATGCATGCAAACATGATAATGCTCAATTTTTAATTTGTGTTTTCGGTACTTATATATACCTTGTATTTTTGATTGATGTATGACAAAGTCAAAAAATGACTTTGGCAATTATATTAGTCTCACATTATTTACATCTCACAGCAGTAAAATAGCAAGTTCGACTTCCTGTACGGCAGTTAGAACCACGCCCACGACGTGTCGTCACTGATAACCTAAACATGGCTGACGGCGAGCGATGAGCTTAGTGAAAACCTAGCCCAAAACACTGGCCCACTCTACACATTCGACAAGCCTGGACGCGGGTATTTAACGCTTGCGGGGAGCAACGTTCAATTTTGTCATCGTAAAGACGTCATCAACCGAAATAGGTGCTCTTTTATTCGAAAGTAGAATCGACCAGACGGCGTTAGCAACATTAGCTTTCGAACCAACTGCTGCTTTTGTGGTTTTTTTCCCCCTCTAAGTAAGTGGCTCACGTCGACCTCTTTTTGACTTCTTTTTTTTCGGAAGGGATACGTTGTTTTCGTTTTTAAGAGACGCCGTCGAGTTAAACCACGCACATCGAAGCCATATAAAGCGGAGCAGCCCGTCGTCTAACTGGAGGTCCCCGGCAACTCCCGAACACCGAGACACCGCCGCAGTCCCTAAACATGGAACAAAGGCGCAGACAGGGGAAATCGCACCCCGCCGACGGCGGTAGCAGCAGCGGCGGGGACTCGGACGGCGGCTGCCCCTCGTCCCCGTCCGCGGGCCAACAAGAAGTCCCGTCTTCTTCGGGCAACGCGTTCGCCAACGACGGCAGCTTCATGGAGATGTTCAAGAAGAAGATGGAAGAGGAGATGAGGAAAAAGGCGCAGGGGGCAGATGGAGAGCAAGGACATACGAAGCCCCCTCCGGTCACCAGCTTTGTAAGGGGTTTGGCAGATAGCACATCCAAACTGACAGCCATTGTCATAGAAATAGCGTATTGGCCAACTCACAAGCAGTTAGGGTGAACTTTCAGGATGAACTAAAAATGCATGATAACCTTAACAGGTGAACATGTTTAACCTTTTCAATGCATGTGATATTTCCAGTTCAGTTTCTTCCCGATTACTGAACAGTTGGACACGTGCATTAAAAAGGTTTCCGAGAAGGTCAAGTGAAGCTTCACCCAAAAACCCAGCATCTTAACTTTTTTTGTGAGGATTGTATCATCAACACTATTAGATGGGTTAAGTTGGGGAATGTTCTCCACAGATGAGGCTGGTCGTTGGGCAGCAGACAATGTAGACCCGCTCTGGTGTAGTCTCCTTCGTTGCCAAGGCAAGGCCTCCTGTAACGCTGTCAGTCTTCTATGCCCTAACCCAGGTGGGGAAGCGCAGAGGCGGTGTGTTCCTTAAGACCGGCATGGTTGCCAAGAAGCAGAAACAGGACACAGAGGTAAGGCCAAATAAAAAAAAAAGAGTGTGTTTCAGGTAACATGAAATTTAAAAATAGGGTCGGTAGGTAGGACAAAGTTTTAAAAAAAAAAAAATCTTTTTATTTTTTATTTTTAATCAAAAATGTAAACAAAATAACCATAAAACATAAAATAAGGAGACATTGAAGCCCCCGCTCTCCGCCAAAGGACACCGGCCCCGCCCGTCCCCGTAACGCCCGCCTCGCCTCTCCCCCGCGGCCACCTTCGACGTCGCCGCCTCCGCCGTCCTCCTGCTGACAGACGACAGGGCAAACGACGCACGCGCTCAACGTGAATATCGCGAGAGTTTGCACCGACGTAAACCCTCTACACAAAAATGTAGAGGGTTGTTTGGAAAAAAAAAACTTTACGGTCGGCATTTTCGACGTAAAAATTCTCAGTCGGTCACGTTACCGGAAACACACTATTTTTTTTTTTCTCCGCCTAAGGAGAAGAATCAAAGTGTGACCTGAACCGGTTTGACGTGCCGCGTCTTTTCACGCAGACGACGCCCGGCAAGAGTGATGCTTGGTCAAAGTACATGGCGGAGGTGAAAAAGTACAAAGCGCACCAGTGTGGCGATGACGATAAGACCAGGCCATTGGTCAAGTAGACGTGGATCCCGCAGAAGAGACCTTTGCCTTTCTTCCATCTTTTGTTACCCTGAAGTTTGCCTTTTTGTCTTCTTTTTTTTTTCTCGGTTTGATTTGATAATGTTCATGTTCTCCTCAACAATGCTTTGAAAGCTTTGCATCCGTAATTGACCGTGTAGTTCTTTTGGATGATGTTACGGCTTGATAAAAATCGACACTGCCTATTCATTGTGGTGTCATGTTTACTTTGTTCCAAAGCACGCAAGTTGTTACAAGGTCAAATGCAAATGCGTCAATCCATCTTCGAGACAAACACACACACACACATAAAAATCACGCCTTACTATACTGTGTGGTTTTTTTTCATGCTAAAAACGCCTTACTATACGATGTCGTTTTTTTCGTGCCAAAAACGGCATACTATATGATGTCGTTTTTTTCGTCTAAAAACGCCTTACTATACAATGTCGTTTTTTTTCGTGCCAAAAACGCCTTAATATACTATGTCGTTTTTTTCGTGCCAAAAACGCCTTACTATACTATGTCGTTTTTTTCGTGCCAAAAACGGCATACTATCGTTTTTTTCGTGGTAAAAACGCCTTACTATACTATGTCGTTTTTTTCGGGTGAAAAACGCCTTACTATACGATGGTCATTTCTTTGGGGTAAAAACGCCTTACTATACTGTCGTTTTTGTCGTGCTAAAAACGCCTTACTAGACTATGTCGTTTTTTCGTGCTAAAAACGCCTTACTAGACTATGTCGTTTTTTCGTGCTAAAAACGCCTTACTAGACTATGTCGTTTTTTCGTGCTAAAAACGCCTTACTAGACTATGTCGTTTTTTCGTGCTAAAAACGCCTTACTAGACTATGTCGTTTTTTCGTGCTAAAAACGCCTTACTAGACTATGTCGTTTTTTCGTGCTAAAAACGCCTTACTAGACTATGTCGTTTTTTCGTGCTAAAAACGCCTTACTAGACTATGTCGTTTTTTTCGTGCCAAAAACGGCATACGATACTATGTCGTTTTTTTCTCCTGAAAACGCCTTACTATACCATGTCGTTTTTTTCTCCTAAAAACGCCTTAGTATACTATGTTGTTTTTTTCGTGCCAAAAACGCCTGACTATACGATGTCGTTTTTTTCGGCCAAAAACGCCTGACTATACGATGTCGTTTTTTTCGGCCAAAAACGCCTGACTATACATGGTCGTTTTTTTCAGCCAAAAACGCCTTACGATACATGGTGTTTTTTTTTCGTCTAAAAATGGGCTAATACCGCCTTACTATACATAGTCGTTTTTTTCGGCTAAAAATTGGCTAAAAACGCCTTCCGATACATGGTCATTTTTTTCGGCGAAAAACGGTCGTTTTTTCCGGCTGAAAACGCCTTACTATACATGGTCGTTTTTTTCGGCTAAAAACGCTTTACTACACATGGTCGTTTTTTTCGGCAAAAAACGGTCGTTTTTTTCAGCTAAAAACGCCTTAATATACATGGTGGTTTTTAT